CCCGTGTCCCCTGCATCGGCAGGCGGACTCTCAACCACTGCGCCACCAGGGAAGCCCTGAAAGAATTCTTGATTGGGGAGGAAGAAGACACGAGTTTAATAAAACAAAACCCTCACCTCTTTGGAGTCAGGCACACGTGGGTTTGAGCTCGAGCTCCTACACTTACAGACTCCACCTCTGGGCTCGTTTTTAACCTCCCTGAGCTTTGTTCTCTCCTCCATAAAATGGGAGTGATTAACACCTCCTAAGAGCCTCACGTTTGTTTAGTTGGCTAACACAGGTAGTGATTAACACAGGGTCCTGAGGCATTTGGTTACAGAGAGCTATAACTAATATGATAGTGGGAAATATCAGTACATCAGTGTCTGCCTTTGTCATGTATATTTTGACTGAGGTTTCTCTGGCATTTTTTTGTGCTCATTTCAAGACATCTTTTTGCTATTAGATTGAAAAACATAGCTTGTGAGTCATGGTCTGCTTTATATCTGGAAGAAGCCCGGGCTTGTTTTCGATGGATGCTTGGTCAGACACTTGGATCCTCATCTCTTTTTGTATAGTAAACAAATGGATGCTTCCAGAGCACAGTCATTTTGCAAATTGCATAGCGGCCTGCTAATGGCATAGGACGGACGCTCCTGGGTAGTGCTCCGCAGACGTGACGCACTGCTTGTTGATACGTGCAGTCTCTTCAACAGCGTCGTTCAGACTCGGAGACGCCCCCCGGGTGTGTGCTTCACACCAGCTTTCAATGTTGCATTTTGTAAACCTGCTCTCATCGTGTACTTCTCTGTACAGTATTGTGAGAGTTTTCAGCATTTTATCAGCTTACGGCATTCCAGTGTCCTCCAGAGACTCAATTTAGACAAACTTAATTGTAAAAAGTAAAATAATGATCTTGTTGCTAAGGTTTTGACTTTCTTTTCACCTATGACTGTAAGACATCTATCACCCATATACACACCGCAGGTAACAGCGGTCCCTCTTACTTAGCTGGTCTGTGTGTTGGGAATTGTGCCGGGTGCTTTTACATAGTTTCTTTCTTACCGTTGCAAAAGCCCAGCAAGATGGGCATCTGTATTCTGTAGTCAAGGGGGCTGTGGCCCAAACTCTTCACATAACCGGTCCGCGGCTCTGCCTGGAAGGACAGGGATTGCAGGCGTCTCTGTAACTCTGAAGCCTGCGGTGTTTCTCTTCCTCAGCCTCTGCCCCCAGCCCCACACAGGACATTCGCTTTCCAGTCACCTCCCACTGTGAACAGACCTTGCTGTAGGGGTTCAGCACGCCACCAAACCCTGGTGCCGTCTTCCTGAAGAGGTGCAGGCCTGATGGAGGCTCGGCGTGACCCCCTCCCTCCTCCTCTGCCCCTCCCTCGTTCTGGGAAGCTCCTTTGTTGGTTTTGATGAGTTTACCTCTGAAACCTCTGCCATCTTAGGCCTCAGAGGCAGTGCCAGGACTCGGCTCATCCTTACTCGGTTCTCTGGAGCTCTCTTCATCATCACTGCATTGGTGAAACATAGATGATCTGGGGAAAACCTGAGTTCAGGGCCCGCGTGGTCACAGGGAGCTTGGATAGGACAGAGGCATACAGGGCCCTTGGGTCGTAGGCACCCAGGCTGCAATTGACACGTGGAGTCTTCGCGTTCTGTTCAGTGCTCTTGAGAGAGGCTGTAGGAGATGGGTCTTTTCGAGGATTACCTTGATTTCTATTTTTTAAAGAAACTGCCATCTTTAGAGTCTTTAGTGAATGAAATATTCTGGTTTGCTAAAATGGTGAGAATTACCCATTTAGATCAACTGTCATTTATATATTGAGCATACACTCTTGTCCATGTAGTCTTCTAGACTCTTTCTCTTTTTGTTTTTTAACATAAATGTATTTACTTATTTATTTATTTATTTTGGCTGTGTTGGGTCTTCGTTGCTGCGCACGGGCTTTCTCTAGTTGCGGCAAGCGGGGGTTACTCTTCATTGCAGTGCGTGGGCTTCTCATTGCGGTGGCTTCTCTTTGTTGCAGAGCATGGGCTCTAGGCACGTGGGCTCAGTAGTTGTGGCGCGTGGGCTCAGTAGTTGTGGCTCACGGGCTCTAGAGCGCAGGCTCATTAGTTGTGGTGCACGGGCTTAGTTGCTCCGTGGCATGTGGGATCTTCCCAGACCAGGGATGGAACCCATGTCCCCTGCATTGACAGGCGGACTCCTAACCACTGAGCCACCAGGGAAGTCCTCGACCTCTTTCCCTTGCACAATATTTTTTCGACTCCACCATGATGTAGGCTGAACCACCCTAAAATGCAGATCCAGAAAATGAGGCTGGTAGAGAGGCAGACTTGTTCAAAGCACAGAACCAGTGGAAAGTGCAGCTGGATCTGATTTTAGGCCCATCCGTTCCTAGTAACCATGCATTCTTATAATGAAATGGATTAGACATTTTGCGGGGGCGAGGAAGAGGCTTAGGAAACAGCTTATGTGCTTTACTTTTTTTTTTTTTTGAATTTTTGAATTTTATTTTATTTATTTTTTTATACAGCAGGTTCTTATTAGTCATCAATTTTATACACATCAGTGTATACATGTCAATCCCAATCGCCCAATTCATCCCATCACCACACCCCCTGCCGCTTCCCCCCTTGGTGTCCATGCATTTGTTCTCTACATCTGTGTCTCGATTTCTGCCCTGCAAACAGGTTCATCTGTACCTTTTTCCTAGGTTCCCCAAATATGCGTGAATATATGATATTTGTTTTTCTCTTTCTGACGTACTTTACTCTGTATGACAGTCTCTAGATCCATCCACGTCTCTACAAATGACCCAATTTTGTTCCTTTTTATGGCTGAGTAATATTCCATTGTATATATGTACCACATCTTCTTTATCCATTCGTCTGTCGATGGGCATTTAGGTTGTTTCCATGTCCTGGCTATTGTAAATAGTGCTGCAATGAACATTGGGGTGCGTGTGTCTTTTTTTTTTTTTTTTTTTTTTTTGCGGTACGCGGCCCTCTCACTGCTGTGGCCTCTCCCATTGCGGAGCACAGGCTCCGGACGCGCAGGCTCAGCGGCCATGGCTCACGGGCCCAGCCGCTCCGCGGCATGTGTGATCCTCCCGGACCGGGGCACGAACCCGTGTCCCCTGCATCGGCAGGCTGACTCTCAACCACTGCGCCACCAGGGAAGCCCCTGCATGTGTCTTTTTGAATTATGTTTTTTTCTGGGTGTGTGCCCAGCAGTGGGATTGCTGGGTCATATGGTAATTCTAGTTTTAGTTTTTTAAGGAGCCTCCATACTGTTCTCCATAGTGGCTGTATCAGTTTACATTCCCACCAACAGTTTATGTGCTTTTCTTGATGAATCGCTATGACACGTAATAGCGTTATTATAATAGTGTCGTGGTGGTGGAATTATGATCCCCAGTACTCCACTGGGCTGTGACTGAAAGGAGGTTTGGAGACGCTGGTGAGATATTGTGCTTTGTTGTCCCTTCACTGAAAGGTCTGGTTTCCCATGCTCTTTGAGTTCTGATGTAAGCGCTTCAGTGTTTGTCTCAGTCACAAATGGTAGTGAGCTTGCAACTAGGGAAGGTCATGACCTTTCTTCTACTTGTTGTTTACAAAGGCTTTTTAAGGGAGTATTGGATTTTTACGACTAGCAGACAGTGAAGCCAAGAGTAAACTGGCATTGGGAAAGGCCTCCTCACTTTGGTATGAACTTTGCTTTGTGTCCCTCACTGATTTTTCTGACTTACTTCAGATGTCCAGCCAGACTGCCAAGTAGCGGAAGGTGGTAGCAAGTAATTGCCCAGTAAGTAAGGGGTCCCTGAAGGAGGATGGGCAGCCATACCTGGGTTCTCGGTGTGGGGTGCAGGGGCGACTTAGAGGCAGGCGAGGCTGGCTTGGAATCTGGGCTCTGCCCTTGCTGTCTGGGTAAGCTGGCAGCTCCTTCTTTGGTGACTCAGTGTTCACACCCGAGTGATGACATGGTCACACCTTTCCTGTGAGAATATTCTAAGGAAAACGTGAAACAATGGAATATAGGGGACTGAGCGTGGCGCCTGACGTCTGACGTGTGTCTGAGGGACGCGGCTTCCCTGCTTCCCTCGATGCCTCTGCTCCTGCCCTGGGCGCACTGGCATGGTGTTTGCCGAGGTCGGGCCCAGGGGTCCAGCCCGCATCCCTAGTCCCGGTGCAGAAGAGGTACCCCGCAAATATTTGTTGAGTGAATACAACCCCTAATTTGGTCGTTGCTATGGCTACATGGCAAATATACAAAAAAACGCATTGGAACAATGTTCTTGATTTGCCCTTTTTTTTTTTTTTTTTTTTTTTTTAATGCCTCACTGCTCCTTCAGCCTTAGGGAAGTAAAGATGTTTACAGATATTTCTCTGTTTTGTTTTTTCTTTTTTTCAGTGCCTGAAACAGTATGTGGAACTCTTGATCAAAGAAGGATTAGAAACTGCAATTAGCTGCCCTGATGCTGCCTGCCCCAAACAGGGCCACCTACAGGAGAACGAGGCACGTTCAGCTGGGAAAACTGGGGTGCACGAGCATGGGCTCCTCAGCGGATCGGGGGTTATGGGTTCTGTCTAGGCTGACCTGGCATTGTAGTCTAGCCCTCAGATTGTTATACTCCTTTTTCTTTTTTCCCTTAGATCGAGTGTATGGTTGCAGCTGAAATCATGCAAAAATACAAAAAGCTACAATTTGAAAGAGGTAGGTGCCCCAGTGCCTTAGCCCGTGACAGAATCCGGGTAACTTCGGGGAGTGCTTTGGGTGATTGTGATTATATATCATTTGGCTACAGCAGAAGTGAAAACATTGATGTAAATTAGACTTCTAAAGTTCGGCTGTCATTTGAATTCTCTGCAGAGCTCACAGTTGGAAGGCCTCTGTTGGGGATCTAGTTAGGAACAGGAAAGATTCGTGAAACACAGCTTGCTTCTAGGGGTTTGGGATTTTGGGGGTAGTTTAAAGAGACCCTCGTGGGGCATTATTCTCCAGCCAGGTTAAGGCCTAACAGTCTGAGAACTAATTCTTTGACCTCCGGAGAATTTAAGAGATACAAAGGCCTGGAAGCAAGTCCCGAGGTCACGCAGGGTGGAATCGTGGCGCTCGCCATCCTGACCGCACGCATGTCCATCGCCTTCACAGGCTGCGTCGTGCGTGCTGGGACCAGTGGGTGCTGAGTCCTTAGTTCACCAAGTCTCCCGACAGCCCAACAAGGTTGTCTGTTAACCTGACACCCACAGAGACTAACTGACGTGCCCTGATTTCCATCTCTGGCGGGTAGTGGGGTGGGGTGTGGACCAGATCCCCCGCAGTGCCCTGCCCAGCCCTGCTGGCTGGAGCCGGGCCGCTCCAGAGTTCAGACACGCTGAGCGTCCGGGATGGGTCTTTCTCTTTGCTGTCTGAAATACTTCAGGATCATAACATGGTATTCTAAAGAGTCTGTGGATTCTGTTTGGCCTCGTTTTCATATATATTCTGGACCTTGGGCTCATCTGAAAAGGAGCAGAATAAGACATGGGTAGAAGATGCTCTGTATGTAAAACTTTATTGTGAAGATGCTGCATCCGCACTGTAAAATTTTCAGCTCAGTTTGTGAGCACTGAAGTTTGCTCCCCGCTCTTCCTGGACTGGTCCTCAGTCCTTGCCTGGATCAGGCATTTATGAGAGATGAAGCCCTGGGTGGCGTGTTTACAGGAAAACACCATCAGGATGGGAATGGAATGCGGAATAGACTAGAGGAAAGTGTCCAGAGACTCTTAGTTTAGCTGAATGTGGAAAGTTTTCTTTTTTTTTTTTTTTTTTAAAAAACTGCTAAAGATAGCTGCATTTCCTCTTGAGGCTCACTTCTCAAGAAAAAAAAAAAAAAAGGTAATGTGCGGCCAACCTAAAAAAAATCAAACAGGACTTTTGATGGCATTGAAATTTGTTTTCAAGAGTTTATTTAGTCAAATGCCATATATTGTTTGGTTTGGGGCAGTTTATAGCTTAAATATAATGCCATGTGATACAAAAGTCAGTATGTGGAGCAATAAAATTAATTTGGATTTCTGAGACTTTGAGCGTCTTCTGAAAACATTTTCCAGTGGGAATCTTGACAGAAACTGGCAGTTACTTGGGTTACAAGAAAATGAACTTTCTATGACATTGAATTTAAAAACGCAGCTGGGTAAATATTCCTACATAATAATTTTAACTGTGTTATTTCTTCCGAACTTTAGTTTAGTCAAAGATTTTTTTTTTCCTTTGCATAATAATGAACCCAACTCGACTTAGGTTAAAAAAATATCTCTCAAACCCATCACTTTAAAACATTTTTCTAGCATTACGTTCAAAGCAGCAAAACACACAAAAAGGACTCGGACTTAATAGGACCAGAGACCGGTCTGAATGAAATGTTAAAATGTTAGGGCTAATAAAATACAGCTCTTGATTATAGCTGGTCACTGAGCAAATTCTGAGACAGGATCAGTGAGCAAGTTTCAACGTACTCCCTCCCTTTGAAATTCGTTTTCAAATGAGGATGGCGACTGGATTAAAAGTGACAGTTGCCATGATTTTCTGACAACCGTTAGTTACTAAAAAGTCCTATGGTTAAAGTTTCAAACACTGTCTTCCTGTGAACTTTGCACGTCTCATCTTATATCAGAGCCTTGATTTCAATCTGAGTTTCCCCACTCCTCCAGCCAGGTCCTTGGGAAGCAGGAAGCCAGGAGGGAGGCTGTGAGGTGCTTTCTGAGCACCTACTCTCCCAACTGGAAGACCCCCAAGGCTGGGAACAAACAAGCTTCCAGGGAAGGTCCATCGCCCTTGCCTGCGTTCTCCACTGGACTACACACGAGCTCCTATTTGGGCACTGACCACACCACGCTGTAGGCATTTGTTTATATATCCAGGGCAGTGAGAATGGACCAGTATGAGTGGGGATGCTGGGCCCTTCACAGTGTGCTTCTCAAAGGACAGTTGTGTTTAAGAAAGAAAAACATCTTTATGTGGCACATATATACAATGGAATATTACTCAGCCATAAAAAGAAACAAAATTTAGTTATTTGTAGTGAGGTGGATGGACCTAGAGTCTGTCATACAGAGTGAAGTAAGTCAGAAAGAGAAAAACAAATACCGTATGCTAACTCATATATATGGAATCTAAAAAAAAAAAAAAAATGGTTCTGAAGAACTTAGGGACAGGACAGGAATAAAGACGCAGATGCAGAGAATGGACTTGAGGACACGGGGAGGGGGAAGGGTAAGCTGGGACGAAGTGAGAGAGTGGCATGGACATATATACACTACCAAATGTAAAATGGATTCCTAGTGGAAAGCAGCCGCATAGCACAGGGAGATCAGCTCGTGCTTTGTGACCACCTAGAGGGGTGGGATAGGGAGGGTGGGAGGGAGGGGATATGGGGATATATGTATATGTATAGCTGATTCACTTTGTTATACAGCAGAAACTAACACACCATTGTAAAGCAATTATACTCCAATAAAGATGTTAAAAAAAGAAAGGAAAGAAAAACATCTTTTAAAAGAGTTGGGCTTTTTGATAAGTAGAGCTATTAGGGAACTGCTTCATTAATCTATTATGAATATACCTTTGGGAGATGGGAGTTAAGATGAGTTTCTTCTAGTGTGCCAGAAAATACACTGCTTGCCTTGTGTGAAAATATATACAAATATGTATATATATATATATTAGATACAATATTTATAATAGTTATAATATATCATATGATATAATGTATCTAATGTATAGTATAACATATATATGTAATACATAGATAGACAGACATAGATATGTATGTATATACACATCCTGGAAAGAAAACCTCTGCTGTTGCCCGGTGTGGATTTTCCTGTTGATTGCATCCCATCTTGTACAACCAGCTGGCAGGCTCCAGCAGCGGGGTGATGATGTAGCATTCTAATAGACGTCTGAGAGAGGAGCCCAGGCTGTGCCCACAGGGGCATGTGTGCCGGGAGCACGACAGAATGGTGTTCTGAGCTAGCAGATCCATGGAGCAGAGTGTTTGCCCTCCACGTCTCCCACAGGGAGTCTCTCCCATAGGGATGGGCGGTGCCATAAGGACACAGGTCACACAGTTGAAGTCGTTACCATGGAAACCCTAACTGGGTCTCCTCTGCTGTGCGCTGCGTGATATAATTGGGCCTTTCATGAAAAGCTCCCCCCCGCCCGCCCCCCCGCCGGCAGCCACGCGTGCCATCTAAGAGGAGTGGACGGAAGATGGCGCTCTGCCGTGAGATGCAGGCAGAGATTCTGCTGGTCCCCTCCTGATGTCACAGGCTCCTCAGAGCAGAAGCGGGGAGCGGTGGGAACTGGAAGGGTCTAAACTGGACAGTGTTGTCCCTTTAGGGGCAACAGCACTAAACACCTTGCCAAGTTGGCAGGGAAACAGACCCCGCTGAGGACGTACCTGCCCGTGTCCAGCTGTTGGAAGGCCGAGCGCGCACATCCCGCAGCACTGCCCTCGGGGGCCGGGCACATAGGGGCCCCGTGATGTAGGTGCGGCAAACCCTGGCTCACCCACCAGCACACCAGTACGGGAGGCAGAGCTCTTAGAGAAATTCCAGATGACGGAGGGGGAGGGCCGCCTGCTAAAAGGCACAGGACCCTGGGGCAGCGGCCTTTGGTGTTTCCCCTGGTGCCCCAGGCCGCCTCTGCATCCCTCCCTCTGCCTTCCTCCTGCCTCCTCAGCCCAGGGGCCTGCAGGCCGCTGCCCCACACACGTGCGTTTTCCCAGAAAACCACTGCCTCGGATCGGACAGCCAGAGACGGTCTTAGAAAATCCACCACTCTCAGCTCATCGTGACAAGAGCGAACTTTACTCCTTCGCTCACTATTAGGCGCATCAGGAAGATTTTACCTTATTATAAAGAAAAACAATTAAAAAGTATCACATTTTCCTGAATGCAGGTGTTCCTCTGTATTAGCGAGTCTTCTAAAGCTTCTGCCAGACCTACCAATTTGATACTTTTGTGCTGTTGATTAATTCACCTTTTAAAAAAGTTAGATTAGGTTAGGAGTCGGCCAGCCATGGCCAGTGGGCCAAATTAGTACGGCCCCTGGCTTGGGGTTATAAATCAAGTTTTATTGGAACACTCATTTACGGATCAACACAGATGCCTTTGTGCTACCACAGCAGAGCTGAGTAGTTGGATGGAGAGCTCATGGCCCTCAAAGACTGAAATACTTACTGTTAGCCCCCGGATTGGATGGTGAGATGGGTTTTAGTCCAGTAGTACCTGACAGGAGCTCATTCATGGTGGGCTGAATCCACATTTGATTGGGGAGCATGGCAAACACACAGGTGGCCTCTTGAGGTGAGGCCCAGACGCCTGCAGCTCATGACAGCCCCAGCCTGTTGGAGTTCCCAGTGCCTACAAATCCTGTCTCTGATGTGGGTGAACCCACCCACCCTGGCCGTCGCTGGTCACGTGGCCGAGAAGCCTGCAAGCGCCTTTCACTGCTTCCAAGTTCCCAGCACAATGCAGTCCGTTCCTTCTCAAGAGCGACCCTCAGTGGCTGACTTGGAGGCCTTTGAACACACCCTGGAATCCTCTGGCCTCCCTCGCGGCGTTTTGGCCTTGCATCAGCATCCGTGTGGGTTCCTGCCCAGCTCTCCCTCCCGCTGGCCTGCATTGAGAGTCCAGTCACACTGGACAAAGGGTCCAAGGAACCAGTAACCAGGCTTACGTGAAGGACAGCTCGGGACCGTTATTTAAAGAAATGTGAGATATGAAAGCAGATGTGAAGGAATGGGAGGGTTGTGGTGTTCTGTTTTTCAGAATCAACTTCCTGACTGATTTCATCAAATCAGCCTTCTCAGTGATGTGGGCTCCACTTCAGAGGGAAAGCCTGCTGTTGAAGAGTGAATTTCATACAGTCCTTAGCTCAGGGCTTAGATTTGAACTTGGGAGGGAGACAGTCATAAGTCAGAGGTCTGACCTTTGATGGGAAGAAGAATCAGCCATCGCCCTTCCTTCTTTTCCTTCCATCCTTAACCAGTATTTTGGGATGCCCGATGCACGCCCCACACTGGGCTAGGTTGTGAGGCTATGAGCCTGAAGGACGGGCCTGACTTCACGAAGCTATGTCCCAGGGCAGGCGGGCAGCGAGCAGGACGTGGTCCCTGGACCACAAGGCTTCCAGGATGTAGGGGCTCCTGAGACACAAGGACTCTGGGGGTAGTTGGGGATCTGCTGTCCCCCACGTGAGTGGAGTGGGAAGTGGGGAGTGCCTGGGGGGGAGGAGGTAGAGCCAGATGGGTCCCGGATCGTGAAGGGGATGTTATGTCTGACCTTGATTTCCTTTTCTCCCTTAAATACGTGAAGTCCGTGTCCATCAGTCCGAAGCCCCGCCAGATCCTTAGTCCTGCGGAGTTTGACTTGCCCGTTTTTATTCCCTGTGTCAGAGGTGCTCCTGGACCCCTGTCGGACTTGGTGCCCGGCATCCACCTGCCAGGCTGTGTGCCAGCTCCAGGAGATGGGGCTGCAGACCCCGCAGCTGGTGCAGTGCAAAGCCTGCGACACGGAATTCTGCTCCGCCTGCAAAGCCAGCTGGCACCCTGGCCAGGGCTGCCCGGAGACCATGCCCATCACCTTCCTTCCCGGGGAGACCAGGTACGCTCGGGGCACAGACTGCAGGCTGGGAGATGGAATCAGGCTTCTCCCGCAATGTGCCTCTGGGGAGGACAGGGCTGCACCCCGGTCAGTCTCCAAGGTCAGTCTTCTCTTGGGTCTCATTCAGACCTGGATTTGTTTATTATTAAATTTTGAGAACTGATTATGTGCCTGGCACTGTGCCAGCCTCTGGAAATATAAAGTTGCATAAGAAACAGAGTACACTCTGCCCATCCAGAAAGGCAAACGTATGAACAGTCAGTTCCTATGCAGGGTTTTAAGTCCTGTGATAACCTGAAGTTTTGCCAAGACTCCATTGTGCTGAAGATGATCCGAAATGGGGGTGCGGGAGCAGAAACGAGGGGGGGCAGTGGTTAGAAACACCAGAAGGATCGCCAAATACAGGCTTCTGGTGCCTGAGGCCAAGGGGGCCACATGTCCCTGAAATGGGGGCCTTGGCAGGAAGGATGCAGTAAACCACTATAGCGGTTTTGCCCTCCCGTCCCCCGCCAGACCCTCAGCCTGGATGGCCAGGTGGACACCACAGCATCACTTGAAATTTAGTAGGTTGAAGCATAGAAACTGATCGTATTCAGCTGTTTTGTCCTCCAGTATCTGCAGTGGCATCTGGTTCAATCAGATAGAGGTGGCCCAGCGCCTGTTGAGGCCAGTTTCTGGTGGAGTAAATCTCACCATCCACCTGAAGGTGTCACCAGCCTGTCTTCCTCTGTCCCCATCTGCTGCCCCCGCCCCTCTCACCACAGCTCGACCTGCCCAGGGACCCTCGTGGCGACGCCGGACACACTCCTGTCCCCTGCCGCCTGCACCTCTGTGCTGTGCCTGGAATGTCCCTTCTTCGCCCTCCTGCTTTCCCTGGGGACTCCTTGCCACCCTCGAGGACGTGGCTCATGTCCCCTCTTTTGTCAAGCTTCCCAGTTCCCGGGGCAGGGTTGGAGACCCATCCTCTGTGTCCCCCCTGGAGATCGTCTGCATTGATGACAGCACCAGCCTTGTTGGCTGTTAGTTCATCTGTTTATGTGGCCAGTCCCTCCACTAGGCTGAGCTTTTGTGTGTGTTTGGGCGTTGTCACCCCAAATCTTGGCATACAGCAGGCGCCGAAACGCTAGAATGAGCACTTAACTTATACTTAGGGTCTTGATCCTTCATAATTTTGTGAGGAGAGCCACACTGCGAGTGTGACAGATTACACATAACCGGAAGAGCTGGATTTCCAGGCTGGGGAAGAAGCAGGTAGAGGGCAGGCGGGGCTGTGCCCTTGTGAAGCAGTCGGGTGACTGTTTAAGAGAAGGCCCCGCTTAGTGAGTGAGGGGCTCCTCCCTTCCAAGAACCAGCGAAACCAGGAGTCAGGAAGAGCCGGTGTCCTGCTCTTGGGACGGATGGAGAAGGGATCCATAAAACCTTCTTAAGGTGGAGGGTGGTGGGTGTTGGGAGCTTGACGACTTAGTATTTCTTCATCTGTGGTGCTCTGATTTCATGGAGGTCATTGCCCAAAGACTGCAATCATGTCACGGTGGCACGACATACATGTATATTAAATCATCAGTGATATACCTTAAAAAGAACAAGAACAAACAAAATGAAAAAAAAAAATCAGGTTGTGCAACCTAAGAAACTGACACAAGGGCAATTTGAATAAGAACTCACAAATCTCATTTTGTGAAAATATAAAAAACAGAGATTTTACCCCCCAAAAATCTGACTTTCTGGCTTATCCAGCCACATGGAACTTCATCCCACACAGGAGACAGGTGTCTGGAGCTGGGCAGCAACCCCTTCTTTATCTGGGGTTTCTGGCATCTTTACTTTGCCACAGTCCTCACCACTCCCTCTTGTCTCCCTGGCCCCTGGGCTGACTGTCAACTACCATTTATAACTGAGGACACACTCGGTTATTTTCATATAAGAGACTTTTTTTTTCCTTTAAGTTAAATCTTCCTTTAACCCCCATTCCCACCCACCACCTGATGAGCCCCACTCATTTATGTTGTGTGTTTGCCCCTTAAAGACATTAGACCATGTAAACTGTGATGAAACTGTCAAAAGACTCCTACCTGCCTTCATAAGTTTGAGTGTATAGTAGTAGTTGTTACTGATAATCTTTTTAAATATAATTAAGGTACCAGAAAATGTTTGAAAACTGTTGTCTATACCATATAATTTCCATGCCGCAATGCACCAGAACTTACATATTTTAACTGTTTCTGCTTGAAAAGTCTCCCTGAGAGGCACTTTCCACTCTCCACTAACGTGGCCTCTGTTCATGGCATTTCCTTCAAAATTAGTTTATGAGTCACATGAGAAAATTGGTTTCATTATTTTAAGGTCACACCTGGCTTTCAAATCAAAACAATGTTTTCTAACCTGATAGTCAACCTTAATCACGGGACTTGGTACCTCCTGACTTTTGGCCTTTGTTAGAAATCAAGCTCGTTCCAGAAGGAGGAAGCTAGCGTCCGTGCACGGCTGGCCCCTGCCCGTCCCCATGGAGGCACCTGCACGTGTTACGACAACCCTGCTTCATTGTAAATCTCATTCTGTGCAGCCAGGCTGGTCCGCAGTTTGCTGTTAAATGAGAGATGAATTTGAGCTACAGCTGTATTATCTTTCAGTAATAGTATTACCAACAACTAGCGTTTACCGAGTGATGACTCTATACGTGCTGGGGTCTAGGTGCTCAGCACAGAGAAACTCTTTACATCTTCATCCCCCGCTCTGAGACGGATGCAGTTTACCTCATGTCTGCAGACGTGGACACTGATAGTATGGACACAGCCCAGCCAGGGCTTGCATGTCTGTCTCCAGACCCCCTGACTACGAGGACATACTGCTTCCTTCCAGGTCGTCTTACCTGGTCACCTTGTACTAGTGAACGAAACAAGAAGCTATTAAGCTGGGGCACGTGCCCCACGGTGCAGGAGCCTCGAGCTTAGGAAAACCCTGAGACTGCAATTGTTTGGAAGCTCACTGATCCTCAGACAGCCGTGTAAAGTGATGACATAATTAAGGCTGACATTCACTATGATGCTTGTGGAAGATCCTTCAGCCAGAATTTACTCAGGATGCCAGAGTTTGCTCACTTGTAGTGAGTTTAGACTCATGAATGCATTAGGTTCTGAAAAGGCTGCTCATCCCAATGGGAAATCATGTTTCTCCCGGTGACATTGAGTAGCTGCAGTGAGCTCAAACAGTGCGTGCCCCATACTCAGTGATAACGGCCCTTGATGGCTTCTTTTTCCAGATGATTCCATATTTTTAGCTGTCTTTTAAGATGAATAGCATGGGATGGACATCGCTCTACAGTCAACCTAAAAAGATACCTAGGCTGTCTTTTTATGAACAGCATAGAATCATTGCTGCCAATTACTGGGCACTCCACACAGGCCTGCACTGCCCTTTGCCCTTCACACATGCATAACCCCATCTGTCACACTCACACTGACCAGAAGGCTGGGCCTCAGAGAGGTTGCCACCCAGCCTGTGTGCAGACGAGCTGCACTTGACCCCAAGCTTAAATGCCACCATGCTCACCCCTGTGGGCCTGCTCAGACCTCTCAGGAAAACAGTTTTGTACAGACAAGCCAAGTAGATCTTAATAAGCGATTAGTGTGTATGTGTGTGTTTCTTAATATTTTTTTCTGATAATGGCAAAGAACATACCATGTGTTATCAACCCTTAGGAGCGTATACAATTATATGAATAAGGGCATAAAATTCGACCATAATCCCATTATTCAGAGACCTCCATTCTAAGCCTTTTGCCCTATTTTCTTTGGTTTGTCTGTGCACGTCTAAATTTAGACATGTGCTGATCTTGCTTTTTCTTTTCCCCAAGTCAAACTGGCTGCTTCACAGTTTTTCGGTGATTGTTTTCCAGAGTTCGAGTGTCTTTGGTTTCAACATATTTCACAGGTGACCCCAGTCCCTCTAGTTGAGCTAGTGCTTCCAGGGTTAACCTGTGCTGGCAGGTGTCTCCTGGCCCTGTGGCCCTCTGAGCACAGCCCTGATGCAGCTTCTCCCTCAGCAGCTCCACTTTCCAACTGGAGGAGGACGACGCGCCCATCAAACGTTGCCCCAAGTGCAAGGTCTACATCGAGCGGGATGAAGGGTGCGCACAGATGATGTGTAAGAACTGCAAGCACGCCTTCTGCTGGTACTGCCTCGAGTCCCTGGACGTGAGTACGCGGCGGGGGCTTTGTGGGTCAGGCTGAAGCCGGAGGCGTGCGCCAGCCGCTTCACTGAAGTTACACTGTCAGGCGTTTTCTCTGTGCGTATTTATGGTAATGTGAGCTCCCTGGATGCAGTGGTATCAAAAGATGGGAGTCTGTGCAGGAGCTCTGGGAGCGAAGGGTCAGCTCAGGCTGTGGTTCAGCCTGGGTGTTAAAGGGGTGGGTAGGATCTCAGCATCTCCGCACATCGGGGAGCTGAAACAACAGACGTTGATCTCTCCGTGCTGGATGCTGGACGTCTGAGATCAGCGCCGGCGTCATCAGGTTCTGGAGGCTCTTCCTGGTGTACAGACGGCCGCCTTCGCTGTGGCCTCACCTGGCAGAGAGAGGGAGCTCTGGACTCTCTTCCTCTTCCTATAAGGACATGAATCCCATCACGGGGGCCACAGCCTCATGACCTCCTCTGAACCTAAACACCTCCCAGCAGCCCCACCTCCAAACACCATCACACTGCAGGTCAGGGCTTCAACACAGGGATTTTGGGGAATGCAAACAGTCCATAGCAGGGGCCGTTACTGGAATAGCAAGGATGATGGAGGCAGGGGACCGCGGATGCTGGGCGCGGGGCGGTTACTTTAGTGACACTCGTGTCACCTGCAGGGCAGAAGAACATGCAGACCCTCTGCTGTCTGGCAGAATGGAAGTTTCTGGCCTCCTACGGCCACCATCTCCCCAGTGTACCCTGCACTGTCTCTGCTGTTCAGAATGATGTCTGAAGCATTAAAAAGTCTTCAGGGCCTTCAGAGGCTTTATGTGTATAGTTTCTTTATTTATCATATATATAATTATATATATAGTCCAAATATATAGTCTCTATATATCATATATAGGCTATATATAGTCTCCCTGTATTATACATAAGATATATATATGTAATTTGCATTTTACTGTATTTCTTTTTTTTGAAAACTGATTATTAAATTATGTTATATTATCTAAAGTCTGGCCTGCAATTTGCAATTCCTTATCAACTTTTCCTAAAGGGGGAAGGAAATGAAATGCCAGTTTTACCTCATGTTATCAAATCTCCTGGTAGATGTTTTGCGGGGAAGTATTAGAAATGGACAGACACAGATTTCCAGAGGGAGCATTGCTTCTGCTGTGACCTCCCCTGCTACCGTGACCTCCCCGAGGTCTGTTCCCTTTGAGCCCAAAGCTGTTCTCTCTCTGCTCTGGTCTCTGGAGAGACACCCTCTCTGTCCGTCTGTGTGTCCTCCTGACTCGGCTGTAAAGCACAGTCCCTGCCGGCCAGAGGCCCCGTTGTGTCCTGACTCTGCCCGGACCAGGGACAGAGGTAGCACAGGGCAATTTCCTCCTTGAAGGTCAGTGTCCTTGGGGCCAAGGGTGGCCTGTTTTCCTCTGTAGGTGATGAGCTGCTGAAAAGTGACCCTGTGACCACAGAAAACAGACCCTGAGGGACAGGGGGTCTGCTCTGCAGCGGTCAATCAAGGACAGTAGCCGTGATTTAGGGCAAGTGTGTGAACGTGTGTCTGGAAGCAGCAGAGCTTCTGAGACGGAGGAGGGGCTTACACGGCCCCCTTCCCTCCTCTCGGGAATTTTCCTCTCCGAGCACCGGCTCCTGGGCACGTACACCTCCCGGAGTTATCAGTCATCTTAGGGTGATTCTTTCCATTCTCGTCCTTGCCCCTGCCCCCCCGCCAGGCCCCACCCTCACCCGTGAGGCCCAGGACTGCACTGCTTCTCTGCTGCCCCTGCGGGCCCAACATTCACCACTTACAGACAGAAGGGACCCGCTCGCCTTCTATCGTTTTTGGAGTTGGTGGTAAATGGTCCCTATTTATGAAGTGATGCTTACGTGGGCTGAAGGTTAGCCTATCTGTGACATGCGCTCCACAGCCCTGTTGTTTCATACGGGCACTCCTTCTGTGAGAGGTGGAATGATTGTTTCCTGACTTTAAGAAGCAGTCCAGGAAGGTTAACCATCTTTCCCCAAAGCACCGAAGGAGTGAGGAACGGACTCAGCATCCACTCTCTGATCTTTCAGACCCTAAGACCCAACAGCTTGGGTACGACCAGTCACTGTCAGCCAGAGTAGGACAGGAAGTCTCACACCTTCCGTGGTGGAGCTGCTCTGAGGAATTCACTGTTATCTGCGAGCATCTGGTCCACCGTGCTCTCTTTCGCCAGCACCATTGTTTCTGCTTCCACCCAGAAGCTTGATGAGGCTTCTCTGAACAATGTAAGGGAAACATTCACTCTCACCACGCACCTAGGTTCCTGGCAGGCCCTGCGGTGGGTATACCCAAGGGCTTCATCCAGGAACTTAAAAGTCAGGATGAAATCACTTTTATATTGTAAAAGCATCTTGGAGTGCTTTTGTTAGGGAGAAGGCTTTTGTTTTGCTCAGGAAGCATGCCCTGAGTGTTGGCAACTCAACTCCGCATGGAGGCCTGGGCTGCCAGGATGTCGCTGGCAAAATCCGTGACCTTGAGGGGCTGGTGACCTCCCGACTGAGAAGCCCCTAGTAGCACCTGGTCCTCGTGAGCACAGTGCTACAAGACGGCTGGTGTGGAGTCCCCAGCAGCCCCTCCGGGGCGGGTCACTGGGTCTGGGGTGGGAGTGGGGTGTGGGCACAGCTATGGAGAGTTAGCTGACCAGGCAGAGGGCAGAATGTGGGAGACGGGTCACCTCCAGAGGACAGGACGTGGTCAGGAAGGATGTGGCCTGTACGTGGTCTGTGTCTGGCCGAGGCGGGGAACGTGACCAGGGTCTCCGTGCCGAGCTAGAGCTGGACCTCTGGCACGGGGGCTCGTGCCCCCCAAACACTGGTCCAACAGCAGCTTGATGAGGGCCACGTGGGGCATCTGTGACCTGGGTACAACCCCCCCCTCCCCCGACCCAGAGTCAGGATCCGCGTTTCCCCAGGCGGCCCCAGGGACTGTAACGTGCAGTCCCCGGGTTTGTCCAGCTTTGCCAGGCGAGAGCCCTGAAGACTTTTCAGCTGGGTCACGCAGAGCAGCTCAGCTTGCGTTTCAGAAAACAAATCCAAAGGCTGTTAGGAGTCTACAGAGCAACGCCGTGAGAGGCAGCCTGGGAAAATGAGGCTTAAAGTGGGACGTTACTCTCCGTGGTGTGTGGGTGAAAGAAAACAGAATTAGGAGTTCGAGGAACAGAGAGTCTCCGTGGACAGAAGTCATCAGAAATGGCCCCAGAGAGGACAAGCTCCAGCCAGAAGAGGCGTGCGTTCACCCACGCCTGTGCTTCCTTGGACAGATGAGGGTCTAGGACAGGGGGTGAGTCGGGGGGTGGCAGTCTGGGCCCTCGCCACAACCCCCAAAAAGCCAGGATTTCCTGATGCTCCAGCGTGTGTTCAGGCTCCACGAGGCCGACCTATAAAATCATCAGACTGCAGGCTCCCTGGGAGGACCACCCAGCGGGGCCGCTAAGGACCAAAGGACACCATCGCCCCCGGCTCTGCCCGGCCCTCGGAGGAAGAGTGACTTCCCGCCTCAGACACGCTGGGCCTTGTGCTTATTTCCCCTTTTCTCAAAAAGAGGCTCTGTTTACAGCCTCAGTTAAGTGAACAAACAGCGTCAGCCTCTCTTTTGTGCTGTTTACTGAGCTGGTCCTTTTTATGGACGATAGGAGAGAAAATGGCACCTCCTGTACATGGAGAAGCAGAGGGTTTTGTCCAGAAAACGCACTCCTGTACCTCGGTCGCTGCTCGCTGAGGTTTGGGGGCCGTGCACCGAGCCGGGGATGTGGTGACAGCGGCTGACTGATATCAGCTCAGGGTCCCGGCTCCAAGAACCTGACGGTCTGGTGAAGGTTGTCAGGGGAAGGTGATTGGAGATGGAGGTGGGACGTGAGGACACCTGGAGGTGGTAGGGTGGGCAGGATGTTCCCTCGAGCTGTCTCTCACTTCTAGACAGTCCGAGGTGGAGGGTGGGTCTCCTCTTGAGTACTGAGAAAATTTTCTTGGTCTGAGCTGAGAGGAAGGACTTTCAGGGCGAGGAGGATGGACCAGACATAAAGGAAGTCATTGCATCCCGGAATAATCCTGCCAGGGTGGTGGGAAGATGCACAGGCAGAGACTCGTGGGGAGTAAAGCACAGCCAGGGCTGGGGGCAGCTCGTGGAGCAGCAGGGGGCTCTGACCTACTTGTTCAGAAGTCCTGCAGCAGCACCGAGTCCCTGAGCCCGGCGGGGGTGGGGGTGGGGGAGCCAGGCTGCAGCAGAGACCGAAGCTGGAGCAGGGCTCCCTCTAGTGGCCCGTGAGCAGTCTGTCGGGGACGCTCCACGGAGGATGGAGAGCCCGGGGACTCACAGGGACCTGGGGTGGCAGCAGCTCCCTCTGGGTGTACGTTCTTCCTCTGCTGTTGTCCTCGTTCTCTCACATCCCCAATTAGAGCTTTAAAAAGAGAAACTGGGACCAGGCAGGACTCATTCACTGAACAGAGAGGACTGTCCCACCCACCCCTGTTCTTTCCCTTCCTTCTCAGGATGACTTCCTTCTGATCCATTATGATAAAGGGCCCTGCAGGAACAAGCTGGGTCATTCCAGGGCATCTGTCATCTGGCATCGGACACAGGTAGGAGGCCGCTCACCTCGCACTCTGACCTATGGGGGAGAGGGGGAGAGAGAGTGTGTGTGTACACATGTGTGGGGTTTCCAGGAGACTTGCCAGTTGGTCAAAGGTCTGTTATATAGAAAAACAGCTAGTAAATGGGGTTCCTGCCTGAATTTTTCCTGGACCAAGATTATGCTTTCAGCAGGCCTGGAATAAATACGCACCACACTTAGCCCCTGATGATTCTTCAACATCAGGCTTTTGATTGCTTGCACCTACTCTTGACCTTGGTAATGACCCACTGTGCTTAGTCAATCCTTGCATGGCCTTTAATGGAAGAGCTTTCCATAGAGGCTCCCAGGTGAGCAAATTAGTCACAGAGAAGGGTAAGAGGGAAAGAATGGAAAGGTCCCTGGGTGATGATGTCTGTGCAGCTGGTGCAGTTATTCATACTTTCAACACATATTTATTTCCTATTGTGTGCCTGGCAGTATTCTAGGAGCTGGGAATACTGCAGTGAATAAGATAGATGCATCCTTCTCTGATGGAACCCACATTCCATGTAGGGACAGATAACGTATATATATATGATGTGAATTCAGCTATAGGGGAGGTGTGATTGGGGAGAGGTCTTTTAGATGGTGTGGCTGGGAAGGCTTGTTGGAGGCGTTGCTTTATGACTGAGCACTGAGTGTTGGGGAGCCGGCGATGGGAGTAGGTGGGACAAGGCAGAGCGGACAGTGCAAGCAGGGGGGACGGAGAAGGGCTGATGGGAGGAACTATGGCATAAAGGTCCATGGGGACAGCAGGAGGCAGCAGTGGTCAGAGATGATCAGAGTTGACCCCATGGGCTTTGCAGGATGAGGTGCGATCTTCGGGGTGTGCTCTGGGCGCGGGGGGAGCCTACCGAGGGGAGCTGCAGGCAGGACTCAGGTGTGCGCCAGCTCCCGGGTGCGGGGAAGAGCCTTGATGGGCTCCGACCATTACCACATTGTCGGCATTCCTCAGCACAGCCTTGAAGCAGGCGGGCTGGGAGATGCAGGAACCGAGACTCAGGCAGTTTTGTGGGAATGGGAGGAGACCACCCGTAAGTGTGCTTCTTCGGTGATCCTCGCTGCAGACCGCGAGGCAGGGCTGATGAACCCACAGGTGGCCGCACAGTAGACGGCCCTGGCTTTGCAGGCCGTAAGGTCTCTGTTGCAACCATCAGCTCTGCCTGGTAGGGAAGCAGCTGCTGCAGCCAGTAGGCCGACAAAGGCCCGTGGTTGCATTCCAGGAAAATGCTTTAAACAATCAGGCGGTAGCACTGACTGTGGCGAAGGCTGCGCAATTCTGAGTGCACTAAAAACCATCAAACTGTACATTAAATAGGGGAGTTGCGAGGTATGTGAGTTATAGCTCCATAAAGTTGTAAGAACCAAACTAAACAAAACGGACTGCGGACCAGATCTGGCCCAAGGGCCAGTCTGCCGACCTCAGCATGGAGAGTGGATTTTAGCTGCATTTTATTTCGTCCTCCTGGCCAGTACGGCCAGCTCCAGTGCTCGCCCCTCCACCTCTGCTGTGTAAAAAAAGCACCCCAAACAACAGAAATAGACTCCCTCACGGTTCTAGAGGCCAGGAGTCTGGAGTCGAGGTGTGGGCAGGGCTCCCTCGGAAACCTGTAGGAGGGCCCCGCCTGCCTCTTCCGGCCCCTGGTCGTTCCCTGCAGTCCTAGCTCCCAGGTGCGCCTCTCCAGTACTTCATCTTTCTCTCTGCACATCTGTCTCTGTGTCCAAACTTCCCTTTGGATAAAGACAGCAGTCATAATGGATCAGGGCCCATCCTGGTAATGTCATTTTAACTTGATTCCCTCTGTAAAGGCCCTCTTTCTGCATAAGGAGCTGTCTCTCCATGTGGCCTGAGCTCCCTAAGAGCATGGCAAGCTTCCCAGGAGAGTGTGAGAGCTGTGGAGACCGTGTCACCCTGTCCAATAGCAAGGCTGGGCTGGGCGCTCACACCTCAGCCCTCGTGCCTGCTTATCCCCGGGAGTGAGTCACGTGTTCCTGGGGTCCTGGAACAGTTGCGGTTCCTGGTAACGGTCATTTAGAGAACAGGCCCTTGAGAAATGCAGAAGCCTGGACGGGGGTCCGTAGCCTCCCCTGTTGTTGAGGAAGGATCCTGGGGGCACCTCCCACCAGCCTCTCTCAGCATCGTCGGTCGGCATCTGCCAGGGGCACCTGCTGAGTGCCAGCTCTGAGTCACCCCTGGAGCCACATGGACAAAGGAAGCCCCCCCCCCCCCGCCGCCCCGATCTCAGGCCCCTCTCGGTGCTCGTGGAATTGAACAAAGGCACTCGGGGTGCAGGGGTCTCTTCCTTGGGGTGTGAGGAACCCTGGAGACACGCAGGGCTGTAGACAGATGTCCACACATTAGTGTTGGATTTGGGGTAAACAATAAAATATGAGTGAGCAGTGTCAAAAGGAAAGGAAGGGAGTCACGAAAACTAGCAAAGCGTGTGACATATAAACCAGGAACGAAGGCCAGAGGCTTGGGAATTAGAGAGGGACATGGTGTGCAGTGGAAGAGCCCCGCCCAGAGCAGACATTTGTGTGCAATCACAAGACCAATTTGCTCTTAAGCCTTCAGTTTTCATAGTTAGAACCACCTCCCAGCACATGATACAGAATCTCCATTACTGAAAGGAACTTTCACTCTCGTAATTTGCTTTTAGAGGTAAAGCATCCACGTGGAAGCTGAGAAAGTCCTCCTTTCCCTTGTGAGTCTCCTGGCTTTCCATCCGATTGGTGGCCTCCATTCCCTTACCCCTCAAACGGGCTTCTGGCTCAGGGCATGTTCATGATCTGCTTCGTCAATGATCCGCGAGTGGAGTTTCACTTTGCATTTATCACCAAGTCTCTTAAGCAGAAATGCAGGTTTGATTATCTTCCATCAATTTACTCAGGAAAATTGCATTCAGTGTCTCCCTAGCACCCGGACGTCGTAGTAGGCGCTGATGCCCATGTGCTCTGGGACGGCGGGCAGGCCCCCGTTCCATGGCCCGACTCTGGGTCTCCCTCCGCAGCCCCTCCTCTTTTTCTTCTCGTCACTCACTGGACTTCGGGACGGAAGCCCCCAGCTGTGCTGTGTCCCTCTCCCTGGCCCTGCTGTGGCCCCGCTGTTGTCCTGGTCTTCATCACCCACCCCTCTCTCTCCCTGTCTTGTCCATGCCCAGCTCTGCACATCCTAATTCTGCCCCCTTCCCTGACCACACTGAGGGGTCACAGTCCGGGCCTTCCACCTGCCCTCAAGAGCATCTCTGGAAACACGCTTGTTGTGCGGCGCCCCCTGCCTTTCCCGGTGCTGTTCCAGCAATCAGCCATCGTGCGTAAGAGACAAGGGCGGCATTTCTTTCTCAGTCAAGTAAATCTTCTTCCTTAGGAGGCCAGCACCTGACAAGGTGGAGTCTCACCCACACTGGCTCTTCCTTTTCTTCTGAGCAGGAGACCCACCTCCCTGTAACGAGAGAGCTCACTTTTAGCCCGAGGGTGGCATTTCACACGCGGCTGATTGCTGATATCTGTGTTCACACGTGGTGGAGCTGTCCTCACTCAGCCCCCCTGAGGCTGGGCTACAGGGCAGGGGCCTCACGCAGTGACCTGTTCTGAGGGTATTTTTCACTACGCTCAGGAAAATACACACAAGTTGTGTCTTGTACTTGAACTAGACGCCCAGTCCTCTCTGTCTTAAGTGCTGGGGCCTTTGGAATCGCTCTTTGGCCATAGATTTTGCATTGGTGAAATGAGAAAATTGGACTGGATTATTATCCAGGGTCAACCTGGTTTCATTATTCTACGTTTATAGGCAGGTGGGACCAGCGCTTGTGACCACGGCAGGGAGGGGACGTCGTGTCAGCCCTCTGTGTGCATTCCTAGAGCCCACGGCCCCCCGGGACTGCAAGGCTATGTCTGCCTCACTTCGGTTTCCGTCCTGGCGGCCCCACCGAACTCGCAGCTTCGTGCCTACCTGGCTGCCGGCCATCTCCACTTGGACGTCTAACGGTACATTTCAGCTAGAACAGGCACGAACAGAAGTTTAGATTTTCCCTCAAGATCGCCTCCTTCTCCAGGTCTCCCTCATGGCGGGAAGCGCACCCCCAGCTTCCGTATCTTCTGAACAAAAGACCTGGGCCGCCCCCAGGGTTCCCACTCCCCCCAGCACCCCTCCACTCGGGCCACATCACCTCCTTCCTGCTCCCCGAACACTACTCCCAGGCGCACTGCACGGGTAGCCGTCTTCACGTTCCCTGCTGGGGTCCTTCTCCTGCAGACAGCAGCTCGGCGATTCCCATCCTCAGAGACAGCTTCCCGTGTCTCCCTTATCAGGCCCCCATCTCCACCTGCCTGACCCCTGCGGGACCTGACGCCTCTCCTGGGGCTGTTTTCAGTGTCCTGACTCTGTTTTGGGGCAGAAGTTTTTCATTATTTGCGTCCAACTCCTCCTCCCAACAGGAGAACCCATTCTCTCAGAGGACAAAAGCAGACCCTAACTCTCCCGCACTCTATCCAATCCAGAACGGCAGATACTCATGAAGCAGAGAAAAGAGGGGCTCTGTGGTGGGGCGAGGACTGCTGCAGTGGGAGCAATCGGTAAACGGTCCATGCAGACGACGCAGCTGCCACCGGCCCCCTTAGCTCATTCATCCCCTGCCTCAGAACACACACAGGGCCAGCGCAGTGAGGATATTCAACAGCTGGCCATGGGGCGGCAGGGGGCGGGCCGACTTTGTAGGGTTGGTCGCTTTCGGTGGTGTCAGCACCCCCAGGATGGCTGTTTCAGGTTGCCAAGGTGATGTCATTGGATGGAGAACTGGAAAGAGACATGGGAGCAGCCCCCATATACCCCAGCACAGCCCTCGGGCCAGTGGCCCGGCCTCTGCGCATTCAGGCCTGGGCGCGGCAGACACCCAGGCTGTGTCCAATGCCAAGTTTCAGTAAATTAAATGTGTCCCGTTCATCTCACCATCTCTTTGACTTGGGTTAGTGTTCCCAAGCCCTGGAGTGGTTTTGTCACAGAACCCTCTGGGGGCAGAGGGTTCAGAAGCTACTAGATTCCATTGAACTGGTTAATCCTATAAACACATATTGGACGTTTGTTAAGGCAGAGCCACCAGGCTGTGTACAGGGGCTTATGGTGGTCACACAAACTGTGTTCTGCTCTGAATGAGTGTACCTCTTGAGAAACTGTCTGACAGGTTAGCCGCTCCTTTAAATCAGGGTTTGCCAGTATGAATGATCCTCGTTTCACCGTGATTCCTTCTTTATCCTTCTGTCTTCCTACAGTATATCGTTTCTGCCTGACACGTACTTATAAGATGCTCACGAAGTGATTATTTTTGTTGTGAGGTATTTGCTTCCTGTCTCATTCTTTATTGTTGGCTGACTTCCCTCTGACAATATCTGTATCCTCCCGTCACCAGTTGGGACCCACTGGGTAACATCGCTTGTTCAATGGCATGCAAAGAAAGAGACAAGATAGCCTGAGTGAAAATGAAGATGGGGTCTTATTGACCAAGAATGTGAGCATTTGGTGAAGGATTTTGGTGTGTTATTGGTGCAAGAGTCCCTGGCTCCCTAGAGACTGAGAAAGTTTCCCAGGTGGTTGAGGTTATCCAAGATGCCCTGCAGATCAGTGATGCCTTCCTGGGGGGTTTTATGTATTCTGAAATATCTGTGTGCGTGATTTTGACAGAGCATGATCTGAATCCACACCACGTAATTCCACCGTTGACATTATGTTCAGACAAATGGACTCAGCCAGGTGGCAGAAAACACAGATTCTTAGCATAAGCACAATCTGATTTAGAAACACAACATGGTGTGTGTGTGTGTGAGAGTGTGTGTGTGATTTTCTGGCAGAATCTAAGGGTGCACTTTCATTCACACCGCTGTGATGCTGCAGCGTAGCATCACGCTTCAGGGCTGATACTAGCTCTTGGAGATCTTTTACTTTATCTGCTTATTTTATGATCGAGAAAACTGAAGCCCAGAGAGGTGAACTCACTGAGTCAGGATTAGAACCATGAGCCCGACGGGTTCATGTATTTATCGCTCTGAACACTAGGTGGCGGACGAGCTCCACCTTCGGATTCCGATTCTGGACTCCAGCAGCTGGTGGAGGGGGGACCAGTTAAAGAACCACCCCCCTTGCTTCTTTGTCCAGCCTCACTGCCTGATTTGAATGACAGTATGTCTACATTTGAGGCTTATTTCCTTCGGGATTTACTCATACCTAGGGGTAAATATATGTTTTTTAAAAAAATCAAAATTCGTAGCAGTAAATGTTGGGTTTTAAACTCCAGGAATAACACAGGTCTGGTCACCCCCTAATGCACCACGCCTGTGCCTTTCTGTTCTCCCACCTGGAATGCCTTATCCCACTCATTTTTGTTTACCACCCACGTCCTCGTAACCCTTATAATCTCAACCATTTCCCATTGCACGCAAAGTCTCCTGCCCCTGGCTAATGTAGGTGTCTGGCTCCTGGGCTCCCTTTACACCCTGGAGCCCAATGGCAGTTTTTGTAAAATGTATTATTATCAGTTGTAGTCATGGTCTCTTTCCATCAGACTGGGTGGTCCTTGAGAGCCAAGATCTAATGTGCCTCTGTGTTTGCCACCCCTAATACAGCCTTTGGCTCAGAGGAAGATTGTTGGTTAACTGGATGTATAATTGGATGGATGTTTGGGTATTTAGATGGAAGGAGGGAAGGGAAGAGAAGGGAAAGGAAGAAAAAAAGGGAAAAAAGGGAAGGGGGAGTGAAAGGAAGGACGTGAAGGGAAGGAAATATGGATAGATGGATGGATAGGTGGATGGATATACGTGGGTGGATGATGGATGCGTGGATGAATGGATGGATGGATAGATGGGTGGATATAGGTGGGTGGATGGATGGGTGGACAGAGGGATGGATGGTTGGGTGGATACAGATGGATGGATGGAGAGATGGGTGGATATACGTGGGTGGATGACGGATGCACGGGTCGTTGTGTGGTTTATACTTTAGCTATCGAACTTACAGGTCAGCCAGCTTACCCTGTGCCCCTCCGTCTCCTTCTTGCAGGTTGTGGGCATTTTTGCTGGATTCGGGCTTCTGCTCCTGGTGGCCTCGCCTTTCCTGCTCCTGGCCACGCCGTTTGTGCTTTGCTGCAAGTGCAAGTGCGGTAAAGGCGACGACGACCCCCTACCCACCTAGAGGAAGGCGTGATGCTGGAGAAAGACCCCACCTCCGGGAAGCGTGGTTCTCTCCCATCCCCACCCCGCCGTCCCCCTCTCACTAAACATGTTTCTTGCCTTATGTGCCCCATTGAGCTTCACAGTGTCACGCCGGATGCCGTGATTTCAGGGACTGATATCAGATCGTTGGCGGAGGCCCCAGGTGCAGTCACCCCGGCGTGGGGGAGGCAAGGCTGGCATGGGTGGGGCGCGTCCCACAGAGGCTGTCTCTGCAGACTTGACAAGGGAGCTGCTGTATGCACCACAGGTGGTGGTAGACTAGGAGCGTCTGGCGTTGCTTAGGAGACCTTCTCTCGCAGAACGTTGTCCGTCTCCTCCTTGGCTTCAAGCTGGCGCCACGTTGCTGAGAGAAGAAGTCTTTTCAGGATCGCATCTCACTTCAGACAGAATCCAAGTGTTCTGACTTGAGAAAAGCACTCTGTTTATGACAACTCTTTTTATTACTAATGGCATTTAGTAAAATCCTTTTTAGAAGGTTGTTTTTTTTTTTTTTTTTTTTCCAACTGGGTTATTGAAAAATCAAAAAGGTGAATTGAAACCATCCTATGCCTTTTCTTGAAATGTGCATTTTAAGAAGTTACGGTTAAATGACCTTTCTGGCTCGGCCACTTTTCAGGAGATTTAGAAAGCCTTATGCGCTCTTTGTGTTTTTCTTGAAACTTGTGGAGACTTTTTGGATGCTGTAAGCTGTGTACTGTTATCAACGTGTTTCCTGTATCATTGCATTTCTTTGAAAACATGGATGCATTTGAAGGGACATGCCCATCCTTAGGTTTGCCTTTTGTCTTTCTCTCTCTGGTGATTCAGCTCAGCTCACAGGGCTCCTCTCTTTTCACCCAAGTATCAGTAAATATTTTTTCATGTCTTCAGAAACCAAATGTTTTACTTGGAAATAGTTCTGCTGAGAATCCCTGTGGTTTGGCCGTAGCCTCAGTCTCCTCAAGCAGACAAAACCAAGCAAATAGTGACATTGATGCCCAGAAGGGGGGCCTCCTATCAGGGCTGGGGGACTCCCAGGGGCTGGGGGAGAAGCTTCCGGATGTTCACAGTGTTTGTAATGACTAAGCTAATTTGGAGAAATCATCTTAGTTCCAAATCCTGTTGCTTACCCTGCTGAAAAAAATCTTCCATTTCACTTAGTTATTTGGATTGGTCTTTTACAGGCTGTGTGTGTCGATTACCATGGCAGCAGGATGCCCGGATCAGTAAGACACACGGAACTCCATCAATTGCCTTTGGACAGTGTGTTCTTTACAGAAAGTTGACTTTAATAATGGCTTTTAAAGAGCAAACTGATCGCATCCAACTTGGGACTTCTAAACATAGTAGAAAGGCAAATGTTGTAGATTTATCATGGTGGAACTTTTTTTTAAAACTTACTGAGCATTCCACAAAGGAGTAAAATGAAAACAAAACCTGACTTTTATCTCAGTTGTTTGCTTGTGGCAAGCACATTTGTAAAGTGTGGTGGTGTTTTATATCCTTGACTTCTGCAATTGGGTATCTGTCTCAGGTCCTGGTTTACCTTCCCATAGAGAAATGTCTTTATTTCTTAACATTTCATCAGTTAGGAGAAACAGGCTCACCTCACTCTTCCCCTCTAGTATTGATTTTCTTTTTGAAACCGAAGCCATTTAGGAACCCAGTCTGTGTCAAAATTACATGCAAAAAATCCTCCTTATAATTGCAGTTTGAAAACTCAGTAACAATAAGAACATGCCTGGGACCATCTTTTTGGATGAAGCCTGGGCACTAGGTCTCTGCAGCTTGAGACGTTTTGATCGGCCCTGGAGGTAGAATGGCTTTTCTGGAGAGAGTGACAACTCCAGGAGGCCTGAAGATGAGGTTGGTGGCCCAGGCGTGAGATGGCTTCATGATCTGTGAGTGCGCTTTAGAATTCGTATGGAATACAGCAGGCTCGTGGCCCATGTCCAGTGGTCCACGGAGCAGGCCTTCATCACCCCAGGTCATCCTGCCTGTGCTCACCACTGCCCATTGCATACAGAGGTCCATACAGTAGTACCCCCTCCTTTGGGGTGGGAACCAGAGGCTTTGGAAAGGTTGCATTCCCTGGGTCAGTGCTCAGGTCCTTTTATTCCTAGCGAGTCAGGCTGTCTTGTCTCTCCTAGAAGAGTCCATGGGCAAATCGTGCACATTTAGAGCATCAACCATCCCTGTGCCTTTACCTCTGCTCATAGCACATGGTTTGACCCAGGTAGGGAACACCGGAGATTCTGGGGCCGGCCGGGTACCTACTTGCTCTGAGTTTTTGCATCAAGTAGCACCTACTTGCTCTGAGTTTTTGCATCAGGCATGCCTCAGAGTGCTCAGTCTGATTCAATAAAAACAAAACTAAAACTGTCTATTCCCTAGAAAGATACCAGCGGGATCGCATTGAGATCCTTACATAGACTTGCATCGCCCCCATATGACTCCTTTTCTTTCAGGAAGGAATGCCATCCCGTTGTTTGTGGGGATGCAGTATGAACCAGGCTTGATGTCAGATGTAAACAGGATGTGGGAAGGTGGCCCGCGGTTTGGGTTTTGACCTTTCGGTCCCTCCCAGTAAAACCTGGGGATTCGATGCTTAGGAGCTGGTCTTAATTAAAAATGACACTTTTACAGGTGGTTTTCCTGCTGACTCTCTGGAAGCACACGTCTGTTTATTCATTTAGAGGCCTTTAAATCTGGGGAGGAGGGGTGGAAGAGCATGGAGACAGACCACGGCTGACTCTGCCCCTGTCCGGGTGGGGTTATCTGAGTCCCTTTGGTAACTGACAACGCTGTGAGGTTTCCCCGGCCGTGCCTGGTCTCTGAGCCTGATCCTGCCCTGCATCCTCCAGCCTGGCCGGCCGAGCTCGCCATCGTCACAGGGGACCAGCGCCTTCAGAGGCGTCTCTGTAGATGCTCACGGGACAGAGACCGACCTAGGACCTGAGCATGCGCAGAGCCTTTGCCAGCGCGCATGGCTGTCCAGACCAGTGTCTGCTCCACCTCCAGGGGGAGCTGCGGGCTGAGGGACCAATATCCGCCACCTCTGGCATCTTTTTAAAGGGGAACAAATTCTCTTTACAGCATATTATTGCACAAAACCGGTTTAGCAACCAGGCCAGTTCCCGGGGGAAGGGGAGTATCAGATATGCAAAAATTACTCCAAGATGATTTTATCTTTCTCTCCTATGTTACAAATGTTAAAGGTTATTTCGCAAATTAGAAGAGAGCATTTTCCCTTGGTCGTCTTTAAAAATGAGAGGATTGGAAAGAACCAGGGTGGTTTTTTTGTATATTTCTCAGATTCTTGTTGATTAATAAATACCCCGGGATGTGTATATAAATCACAGTAAAATCATCAAGGGAAAACATTTTGCATGTATAAATCTTCCTGAAGGTCTCTTTAAAAAAATGCCAAAGCTTGTTTATTCCTTATCATTAACCCAAGCCCTTATGAAAGTAAACAAGAGTTATGACTGGTATTGTCAAAAATGCCTGCTGGAAGGAAGGGGCTGCATTAAAGCAGAATGATGGATGCATCCTAACCAGGAGAGCCTGCTGTTTGGGTGTGTAAAGCCCGTGGTCTCCCCATCCTTGGTTTGCACAATCCTGTCTTCCGAGATTCCAGCAGCCTTCAGGGAGGGGTAGGTACCCGACCTTTCCTTCATTCCATGCTCATTTACCATGGGTGTATTTTAATCTTGTATAAAAATATGCATGAATGAGTCATGCACATGTATACATTATGTATTTGACAAGTGGTGGTAAAAGCAAAACAACAAAAACAAGTTTGGTTTGTGTTTTTGAGATGTCAGTACGTTTTGTGCCACTAACACTGTGATGTATAAAAGAGCTGTTTGAATGCCTTTTAATGTTGTGTTTTGTACTTTGGAATCATATGGAAAAGTTTGATTTGTAATTTCAATATATATTTTAAGTGTATTGTGTCTTATGTAGTTTGCCCCCCCCCACCCTTTAGAAGGGATTTCTTTTTAAAGATATTTTGGCTGGAATACAGGTTACTTTTGTAAATCCTGTCTGGCTCCATCTTTTTTATACTCTTAGTTGACTGCTGTCTTGAAGATTGAAAATACTATGAGGATTGGAGGTGGACGGGAAGGGGAACTTCTACCACCGGGAAAACAGGGTTTTTTTTTTTTTTTTTAAGAGTAATTAACATACACTAGGATATTGTTTTGGGTGTACAGCATAGTGATTCAATATTTTTATACATTATGAAATGATTACCACAGTAAGACCAGCTGTCATTCATCACTATATAAAGTTTTTACAATCTTTTTTTTAATTATTGGAGTGTAATTGCTTTACAATGTTGTGTTAGTTTCTGCTGCATGGCGAAGTGAATGAGCCATACGTACACACACACCCCCTCCCTCTTAGACCTCCCTCCCATCCCATCCCCCATCCTACCCATCTAGGTCATCCCAGAGCACTGAGCTGAGCTCCCTGTGCCATACAGCAGGTTCCCACTAGCTATCTATTTTACACACTGTAGTGTATGTATGTCAATGCTAATCTCCCAGTTCATTCCACCCTCCTCTTCCCCTCCATGTCCACCCTTCCATTCTCTACATCTGCATCGCTATTCCTACCCTGCAAATAGGTTCATCTGTACCATTTTTCTAGATTCCACATACATGCATTAATATACAATATTTGTTTTTCTGTTTCTGACTTACTTCACTCTGTATGACAGACTCTGGGTCCATCCACATCTCTACAAATGACCCAATTTTGTTCCTTTTTATGGCTGAGTAATCTTATTGACTATTTTCCCTATATTACATTGCATCCCTGGGATCTTACAGCTGGAAGTGTGTACCTCTTAATCTCCTGCACATTATCTTGTCCATCTACCAGCCCCCTCCCTTCTGGCAACCACCAGTTTGTTCTCTGTAACTATGAGTCTGTTTCTGTTTTGTTTCATTTGCTTGTTGGTTTTGTCT